CGGTGCCTTAAGAAAATATTTTGTGATAATTCTGTGAGGAAATCAATTTTATTAAAATTTATTCTTTCCTTTTAGTTTTCCGATATTGATTTGTATTTAAAAAATTTAATGCATTTTCAAGCTCTGTTGGGGTTCCGTGGCCTAGTTGGTTAAAGAGCCTCTCTAATAAAAAGGAAATCACGAGTTCTGATCTCGTCGGTGTCTTAGAGAAATGTTTTGACCATAATTCTGTAAGAAAACTATTGTTTTCAAATTTGGTATTCTGATTTTGATTTTTAATAAGAAAATATTTGATACATTTTATTTTCCCTCCCCGTAGCTTAGTTGGTTAAAGTACCTGTTTAGTAAGAAAGAAATCGCGAATTCGTGCTTTAAGAAGTGCAATTTGGTTATGAAAAAAAAGAAAAAAAATAGTTTCCAAATATTCTTTTTACATCAAGTTTTCAGAAAGAAAATTTTTCTTACATTTTCGAACTTCTCCTGAGGCGCCGTGGCTTAGTTGGTTAAAGCGCCTGTCTAGTAAACAGGAGATCACGAGTTCGAATCTCGTCGGTGCCTTAAGTAAATGTTTTTGGCCATAATTCTAAGAGGAAAATTTTTTTCTTCCAAATTTAGTCTTTCCTTTCAGTTCTCCGATTTTGTTTTGTATAAGAAAATTTTTCATGCATTTTCTTGGTTCTCTCGAGGCGCCGTGGCTTAGTTGGTTAAAGCGCCTGTCTAGTAAACAGGAGGTCACGAGTTCGAATCTCGTCGGTGCCTTAAGTGAATGCTTTTGGCCAAAATTCTACGAGGAAAAAAGTTGTTTCCAAATTTAGTCTTTCCGATATTGAATTGTATAAGACTTCAGTGTTTGTAATTTTTATTAATTAAAGTGCTAAATTTGATAGCATGCAGGATCACAGATGTCTATTCTTAGTAGTATTTAGTATGTAGATGATCTTAGAATAAATACAGTCTCAAATTATCATTGTCATGCAGGATCCCAGACTTCTATTCTTAGTATCATTTACTATGTAGATGATCTTAAAATAAAAACACTCTCAAATCATTAATGCCATGGATGATCATAGAATTCTATTCTTAGTAGTATTAAAATCGTTTTTTATGTGGTATGCAGATGGCATTAGAATAAAAACAGTTCCGAATTATTAATGTGATCGATGATCATAGACTTTCGTTCTTAGTAATACCACAGTTGTTTTTCATTGATTGAGTATACAGTGCGAGAAAAAATGCACCATCCCGAAAAACTTTTAATCTAATGATCGGATCTTTACGTTCTGAGACTCAATCTTAATGGCTCGAGGAAGGACCTCAAATATACTAATTAGTTAGTGTAGACGATATTTAAAATTACGAAATAAGACACAAAAACATACTTTCTTTGAATAAACATGCATTTTTTTCCTGATCCCTAAAATATAGCGGTAGCCGCTATCAGGGAAATAGGGTCTCTATAGTTTAGTCAGGAGAGCGATCCAAAGTTTGGACCCTTAACATAAATTTTACTTTTTGCGTTTTTCACCATACCTTGAGGACATTTTAAGCGAATTGAAAAATGCTTACACACAGTTAAAAAACTCGTTTATCCAAAGATAATTACATGCAAAAAATACACTTTAGTAAATAATGATTATTTTATTAAATAATAGCGGAAAAAATTTTGAATTGTAAAGTATACAATTTTTGCCTCATTTCAAAGTATGTAATTTTACACGCCAAAATACAAAATTTGAGCGAAATCGGTTGAATAGTTACTAAGAAATCGAATTTTCAAAAAGAACCCGTCGAAAAAAAAAGGTATGTTTATTCAGAGAATATACGTTTTTGTCTGATATCGTGACTTAAAATATCGTCTGCGCTAATTAATTAGCATATTTGAGGTCATCTCCTCGAACCAGTAAGATTTGAGTCCTAGAACGCGAAAATCGGATCATTAGATTAAAAGTTATTCAGGGTAGTCCGTAATTTTTTTATTTTCTTTTATTTATTCATTTTTTGTTAGCTTAAAGTACATGATCTAGAATAAAAACAGTCTCACATTATTAATACCCGGAATACCGTAGACTTTATTCTCAGCAATATTACAGTCTTTTCTAGTTCGTATTAGTCTTTTCTCGTCTGGTTATTATATATCTCATCTAATTATAGCAATATTAGTTTTTTCTCGTCTGATTATTATATATATCGTCTGATTATAGCATTATTAGTCTTTTCTCGTCTGATTATTATATATCTCGTCTGATTATAGCAATATTAGTCTTTTCTCGTCTGATTATTTTATATCTCGTCTGATTATAGCAATATTAGTCTTTTCTCGTCTGAAATTAGTCTCAAATCATTTGTACGATGGATAAACATAAATATAAATCATTAGTTTATGTCGATGACGTTACTGGTTGGTGAACTCAAGAGCTTTAATGAATTTTTATTTACAGGTAACCTTGATTTATAGTAACAAAAGAGGTTAAACCCACTTGTAAAGTCTATTCATGGATAATAGCCATTATTAGAACAAACAACAAACAAACAAACTAAAAAAAAAAAACAAAAAAAAACAATAACATAAAAACAGATGTTACAATTCTTTAAAACTCTTACATTCAGCGTGAAATTATTTTGAACTCTCGGCGACTCGCATAATTCACTTTCTTAATTCGACTTCATTGAGATAGATATAAGAGGTCTGTGGCATTATAATTGAGCCATTTATTAAATCAAAGCAGTTGGTCGGAGACAATTTGACTGCAGTCAACGTGAAAACAGGGAATAAAAGAAGATCACTAAGATTTTACTCGGAATTTCTTTGACATGTTTATGTCTTTTTTTCTTTTCTTTTTTTTTATCCAACAAAACAATGGATTACTGTGTTTATCAGAAACGCCGATTTAAGAGAGAAAAAGAGTGGCGAAAACATGTGTCTGGGTGTAACACATTTTCTTATCTACAAAAACACACTTTAAAATAAAATAAAGAAAATGAAAATCTTATCACCACTAGACGTAAATAAATTTACGAGTAGTGGCGTTTAATGCTGTAAATGTATGAAAAACGATGTTTGTATTTTCAATTATTTTTGGTCTGTATAATGTTAGAAAGTTTTGAACCTGAGACGGTTTAATTTAACACCATAATAAAGCAACAAATTTGCACCTTATTATAGCTCTTGGTACTAATATTAGTGATTAAAGATAACGGTTTTTTTCAAAGTACTATTACTATGTTACGGTGTACAGATATTACAGTCCAAGGTACTAATACGTTCAGGATATCAATATAATGGTTCAAGGTACTAATACGTGGTACCGATATTATGGTTCAAGGTAGAAATATTACGGTTCAAAATACTAATGTAATGGTTCAATGTTGCTCTGTTCAAAGTACTAATATTACGGTTCAAGGTGCTAATATTATTGTTCAAGGTACTAATATTATGGCTCAAGGTACAGATACTATAGTCCAACGATGAACCAATTTTCCTAAGCGAGTAATTTTTTCGTAAGTTAACAGTTTTAATGTAAGTTTATGTTCGAAATAGGGCCTGTCGCTAAATGCTACTAATGTTTCAAAGTAAAATGATAGTGAATTTAAGCAAATTTATCGTTAAATGTATATTGCTCTTTAATGTGTGTGTTAGATTACGCTGTAAATCTGTGGTAACCTGTATAAGATTAGCCTAGCTTACATTTATTGTTTGCAAGCTTTCTACTGTATATTCTAACTTTTATTTGAACTGTTCGCCTCTGAGCGTTCGCTCTTTTGGTGTTTTAAAATGCTGGCAAATGACTAGCTCTCTGAATTTGTCGATGAGTGTTTCGTTGAAACCTTCCTTCTCTCTCTCTAAAAAAAAAAAATTTAAATTTGTCGCATATTACCCTTATCCATTAAGATTTTAAAAAATTTAATTACTTTACAAAATGAATAAATGTTCAAATAAGGATAGGGTTATATATATATGCTTTGTGCGATGTATGAATAAAGAAGAACAACGTGTATAAAGCACAAATAAAGTTACAGAACGTCTATTTTTGTATCATTATTTGTGTTTTATTCACTTTGTTCTGTTTTATTTCTAATTTATTGGAGTATCGATTATTAAAATTAGATCTTAGATCAGATTAAAATAAGATCTTTCCCCGATAAATCTTATTATTATTATTTTTTTTCCATAATCATTTAGATGATCACTTTTCCTCGCTGGTCTTCAATTATGATAAATACAAAATATTTAGAATTTTGATTTAAAGATTTCTATCGATTCCCGCACACGCTAGGCTACACACAACACAATTTATATAGTTACGTTAAGAAAGAAATAACCTTATGAAAAATAATTATAATTTCTTGTCTTGGCTGCAACTTAAGTTTCAAAATGCATAGCAGATGTGCAGTCTCAAAACAAAATATAAAAATTAGTACTTTGAACCTACCTGATCATAAATATAGTGCATTTACAGAAAAAATGGTAGTACATTTGGGTTTCAACTAAGTGGATATTTCAACATATTCTTTCACATCTAAGTATTTATATTATTAGCTCTTAGATTATTTGCAATATACTAATTACTAATTGAAATACCAGCCTTTAACTTTTTGAAACAAAATATATACTTATGAATCGTGATGCATAAAAGAAAATTTAAAAAAAAAAATGTCAGCCATAACAAGCTGATATTTTTAATCCTAAATCGAAACTAATAACTAATTCTTTTCTTAAAATTTAATTAATTTAATTATATTAAGTATTTATATTATTAGCTCTTAGATTATTTGCAATATACTAATTACTAATTGAAATAACAACCTTTAACTTTTTGGAAAACAAAATTTATACTTATGAATCGTGATGCATAAAAGAAAATTTTTAAAAAAATGTCAGCCAAAACTATTTTTAATCCTAAATCGAAACTAACAACTAATTCCTTTTTTAAAATTTAGTTATTCTTAAACCAAAAATCAATGATTCAATTGTATCAAATCGATTATTACCTATACAAATCAGCCCATTCATATAGTTTAATGAACTATTTAGCTATAAAAATTGGACAAGAAACATATATCACTTTATGTACAAGACAAAGTTTGGAATGCTGAGGGAGGGAGGGGACGACAGTCGACGTCATGATCTGCGTCATCACTAAGCCTGTCAATTATGTTTCTCGAAAATCCGCGAGAACTGTGTAATAAATGATCATTGATGAAACAAATTTTGAGATAAAGCAATGATTGAAAAAGTTTTCTGAGTAAGTAAACCAAGTTTCAACTATTAAAAACTCTTAAATTAATGTTGCATTAAGAACAATCATAAAAATTATTATCCAAAACAAATTACGAACACGTTGCCATAAAAAATGATTTTACGATGACGATTCTGTTCTATTCGAACGAAATTAATTCCCGTGCCATGTAATAATAAAGTTTTTCTTTTTTTAATTACTGTAGCTTACACGAACAGCCAGACAAAGAAGATGAAAGCTGGTTTTATTATTATTATTATTTGCGCACTCGAAAATCTGGTAGCACTAGTTGCGATTAAGGTCGTAGTTGCTAAGCCCACGGCAACAGAATAGGTATCTTTTTTTTATTCTTTTTGGATTGACCGCTTCTAAAGTACTCTGCAAGAACGGGTTTCAACTTGTTCCATCATCCTCTTCCATATATTAGAAACGATAACAATCGCTGGAAGAAAAAAAAACGAAATATATAAACAAGAAAGAGCAGTCAGAATGTAGAAACAATGGATTGCTATTATGACGACGCCATTTTTTTTTCTTGTTGTTGCTGCTTCGTTATTGGATTTTTTTCTTCTTCTTTCCAGTAGACAAAACCAGGAACTGCGTGAGTGTATGGATTCATAGAGCCTGATACGAACCAGTCTGTTAAAGATAATAAAATAAAAATAAAAATTTCATAATAACCCAAAGAATATATGAAATAAAAAAAATAGAAAATGGGATGGAAATGAGGTCGGTAGACGATAAGTACCATCACGTTATTGAAGGGTAACTTTGACCTTAACCGCTTGGTGAGGACTGGAAAAATATCCCCCCTGCCACGAACTATATTTTCTTGGTACATTATAATTTTTTTTTAAAATCTAATATTAGGTCATTTGTGGCATCATCTAATGTTGCGCCAAGTACATTACGCGTTCGTGACATTGTATATTGAGTGAACTTTTTTTTAAAATTTAATAGTATATACTTTGAAGTGTAACTGATACTTAATGTTAGTTAAGGTTAAGACCAGATGCTATCATTAAAATGCAATGCAAAATTTTTGCAGACAGATTACTGTGACTTGTTCATAATGATTTCTGTTCTCAGCATATTACAGTGACCAAAAAAAAAAAAGAACTTTATAAAAGTTTAACTTATAAGAATGAAGATTTTTTTAAAGGTATTTTTCAAAGGCTGGGGCGTAACATTTTTCAAAGGCTCAAGTGTCGCTTAATATGACGCTTTTTTGTAAAATATTAGTTATTTTCACAACAGCCGTGAGTTTGCAATAGTTTATTCATGACTGCTACGTCAAGGTTAGCTTATCTTATGCCAGCGCCCTCTATGCTATCTCTGAAAATGGCGTGAAGCACAAATGTGAAGGAAAGCTGCAGTTTTGTGAAAATAAAAAGCGTTTTCTGATCTAATTTTTTTTCAACATATTTAAAAAAGTATTCATTCTAAAAAATACCAGTTTTTTTCCGAGCCATCTCCGTATATTTGACGGTTTAAAACTGTTTTGTTGACAAAATTATTCTATCAAAAAGATTATATTGTTCTACAATTATATCATCAAATACGACGCAAAAAACTGTGGCTCTTCTTCATATTGTTGACATTTCTCGTCATTCTCATAATGATCATAGAGGGCGCTGCTTGAACTGGACTTTATCTCATAACAGTTATAAATAATTGTAGCGAGGTCAAAACATTTATAAAAATAGTTCTTCAGATGGCGAAAAAGTTATTTTAGGCTAAATATTTATAAATATAATAATTAGTATAATATAATATTTAATAAAAGATACGTAAAATATTTGTCTTAAATGAATATTAAAAGTTCAAATAAAAACACTGTTTAATTGCATGTTTTTTTAACATGCAATTAAAAATACCTATAATTAGAATAGAATAACCTCAATTTTCTTTTTTTAAACTTAGATCACAAATGCGATTTAAAACAGATTATACATGGAATGTTTTTAGAAATATCTAGATATTGCCGGCTAAAAAAATAATCATTATAACCTAAACGTAAATATTTTTCTCAGCCGTTACCATAAGCCGTCAGACTACATATTTGCTCATTTTTTTTAAATTCTCATTATTTTTATCTTTTCAGTGATTATTAAAAACCCGAACAGTAGAATTGAAATTTTCTTTTTCATAAGAGGTTTTTCCTTTGCTTCTTTGAAAATGCACACGAATCTTAACAAAATAGAACACCAAATTTTTCCGTTTCCTGCAACCCTCTCATTAAATATGGTTTTGTAAACATTACCAAAAGGATGTTTTGTTTGGGCGATACGGATGAAAGAACTAACTTAACGAACAAAAACGAATAGTTAAGTTAGAAATATAAATAGTTCAAATAGACGAAATTGGGTTTCAAATAAAGATAACCAACTCCTCGGAACAATATTATTCTACTTTACTTACATTTGAAATGTTTACTCACATTTTTGTTCGAATTTGATTTATAGATGATAGAAAACAAAGAAGTTTAAAATTAATTCATGTTCTAAAGATATCAAAATTTAGCCTACGTCATGCTTGTTGTAAAGCTATTATTATTTACAGGAAGTCCGGTTGTATAATCTGTGAGTATTCGATTCTGCTTTCTGTTGTCAACAACTTCTAAACACTCAACAGATGTTCCAGCAGCCAGTGGTCTTATTTTTTGCGTGGAAATGTTACAAAATATAATCGAAAATATATACTCTCCCCGTCTCTTATTCATTCGCTCTGCAAAAGTTGCTGCAGGCATGGATACTTCCGTCGTATTGTTTAATCACTGCTGGCAATAACTGATCAAGACTGGAATTCTAATCATAATAGATTCGATCTTTGTTCAATGTTTCATTAGCAGAATTAAAAGCATACAGTATGAATTTTTAAAAAAATGGCACAATCCTCACGTTTCCAACTTTTATTTTTTTATTTATTTATAGATTCGAGCTTTTGTTCGAAGTTTCATTAACAATGCTTGCAGTATGAATAAAAGAAAGTGGCACAATCATCGCGTTTCCAACTTTCATTTTTTTATTTGCGAGTCAGAATAATCATTTCAAACTATTGTCCTAGCATTGATCTTGTATATTAAAAAATGTTTCAAAATAATGAAAAATACAGAAAATATATCTCCTAGTCCCTTTTTCATTTGTCACTGCAAATGTTGCAGGCTATAGACTCTGTCTTCCGTCTAATGATTTAACCATTACTGGTAATTCATCTTTAACTGAACGTGACTAGAATTCGAATTATAATAAATTCGATCTTTAGTCGATGTTTCCTTATCAAAGTTCAGGGAATACTGCACGAATAATAATAATAAAACATTTTATTTGACAATTTTAAAACTTATTTTAATAATATTTTTCAGCATTTTAACAATATTTATGCATCTTGTTTCTTAAAATTGTTGCAGTATATATAGAAAAGAAATTTCCCCGTCTCTTATTCATCTGTCACTTCAAATATTGCTGCAGGCATAGGCAAGGGTACTTCCGCCCGAAATGTTAAACAACTGCTGGCAATTCAAGTTTAACTGAACGAGGCTGGAATTCTAATTACAATAGATTCGATCGTTGTTTGATCTTTCATTAACATTGTTCAGGGCATGTATTATGAACAAAAAGAAAATGGCGCAATTCTCGCGTTCTAAACTTACTTTATTTAGCAGTTATGAAAATCATAATAACCCATTGTTCCAGCATTGATCTTGTATTTTAAAATGTTACAAAGTATACAGAAAAATATATTCCTTCTTCTCTTTGTCATTTGTAACTGAGAATGCTGCTGTTGGCATGGATGCTTCCTTGAAGCATTGTTTAACCACTGCTGCCATTCCAAGTTCAACTGTACGAGTCTAGAATCCTAATTATTACAAATTATTAAATGTTCTAATTATTACATGTTATTAATGTTCATTATTACTTTATTAAATGCTTCATTAACTGTGTAAGCTTAGAGCATACAGTAGGAATCAAATTTCTTGTGTTTTCAACTTTTATTCCTGTATAGACGTTGCAGCTATATATGCATTTTTAAACTATTGTTCTAGCAGTGTAATCTTGTCAGATTAATCAAATTGCTTTATAGTCTCTCTCTTTTTTTTATTTTTATCTTTCATACAATGTTGCTTTTGGCTGGAATATTTCCGTCGAATCAATCAAACAATTCAAATTAAACTGAACAAGACTAGCATCTTAATCAGGGTGCGTACCCAAATTATTAAAAAAAAAAGCACCTTTTAAGCACTTTTCAAGCGCTCGAAAAATATTTTTAAGCACTTTAAAAAAATATCATAATTAGGCAGGGTTGGAAAGTTTTTGACAATTGACAGTTTTATTTTGTTTTAACCGTCATGTCAAAAAAAAAAAAAAAACCTTTTGGCATTGTTTTTGACAATTGTCAAAAATTATGAAATTTTGAATCATGTAAAACGAATGGCGTTTTCATACGCTATGGACTGACAATACGCCGAAATAGATTGGGGTTGAATTAATTGTGAAAACGTTGAATAGAACAATGTGAAGTGAATATATTCGATTTTAATCTATTATTTCGTTAACAAAGTTGTTAAGCAATACCCATTTTGTTGTGTTTCTAATTCTAACTTATATATATTTTTATTTACTAGTTATAAAAATGGTATTTATACTAAAGTACTAATAATCAAAGATTGTAGCCGCTTTAAATGCGTTATGTAACCAACCAGCCTCTGTGCAGGCTAGAGGCTAAGTTTGAAATCTCAGTAGCGCATCCTGGTGGTTAATAAGAAAACTTTTCGACATAACATCAGTTTGAGTTTTTGGAGTTAAGCTTTTAAAATGACCTCATCAAAGAACATTATGCAACATTTTCAGTAACTAAGATATTGTTTTCAGGGGGAAAAAATCGGGATTTTCATTCTACCATTTTGAAAACGTTCGTTACCATATGATAGTTAGTACCTGAATATTTAGTATCTAATACGTAAGCCTGAAATATTTTTACACATTATCAAGGCTGTAAATTTGTAGGGTCGTTCAGAAAAATGTGTCTTATTAGCAGCAACTATTTACGTTTTCATGTATGCAGACAAATCTTAGTTTTAAAATTTAGAAAAACAAACTGTTAACTAATGCTAAAAAATTATAACCCACTAATTCAAACATTTACGTATATAAGATAAATTAACCATTTATGCTTTTAAGTGTTGGCAAATAATAAATTTTAGAAAATTATCCATATTTTAGTTATTACTAGGGGGCTCCGCCCCCTGCTCGCTACCGTTCGCCAACCCCCGAGAATTGCTACGCAATTCTTTTTTGTTTGCTTCGCAAACAAATTTTAATACATTTATATAAGGATATAAATGCGCGGCAGAGCATAAGTACGACTGTACGATTCTCCTAAATACTGATTTTCATCTATTTCTCGAAGACGATTAGCTGCCCTACTTCGATTTTCTCTTTGGCGGGCATTAGTAAGCTCTCGATTATTTTGTCGATTTATTCTTCGACGCTCTTGTTCATTTTGACGAAACGTGGGATCCAATCTCCGCTGTCTGCGATATTCTCGATCGCGATCTGTCCTGTCAGACATTATACTGAAATTCCAAATGATTGAAATGAGTTGAATAAATAAATGTGATTTAAAATTTAACCATTTTA